TAACCATTTAACAAAATTGAACAAGATAAAAAAAAAAAAAAGGCGCCTACAGTTCATGCATCTTTTGTCATTTACGACAAGTGAAAACAAGGAGAACTCTTCTGTCTTTAAAGATACGTTATAAAAGTTGCCCAATTGGATATATTTAGATTTATATATATTTTTAATACTTAGAACTTAGATGATGAAATACAAACAATAGTTTAACTTTACGGGTACCAACAAGGAAGGTGATAAAGTAAAAGGAGAAAAATGGCAAAGGAATGATGTGACCCAAATGAATGAGTTTATTGGCTGCCTACTCTATACTGGCCCCTAATTTATTTAATGGATTACTGGAGTACACAACTCAAATAAGAAACAGCCAAACAAAAATGTTCTCAAGCCATTGAAGGGTTTTTTTTCTATTAAATTTTAAATTATGTACCAGTGTGTTAGATCCAGTAGACATGTTTGGTAAAAAAAAAGGCTAGTCCTCCAAAAATAAATCTCTTTGTCATTTTTATGAAATGGCATCCTTTATGATGTTCATTCCAACTACCTTGTGAATTGGGTCAAGTATGAGAAAGATTGTTGAAAGGAGATTCGAGGTATCAGGAAAAACAGTCAGTGTCCGCATGTATGACTCACAGTGCCAAGGAAAAAGTTTAAAATTGGTGGTTTTGTTCTGACTAAGCCAAGCTCTTTAAAGGAATAGTTGAAATTAATTCATTATGAATGAAATTTTCATTATTTAGAATACCTAATTAAATCATAAAGTACTGTGTGATTAAATCGTTTAACTTAAACAATACACATAAATAATCTTAAATAAAGGATTTAATTTTAATAATTAAATTAATATTATTACTTTTCTAAAATTCAAATGAAAACAACAAATGTATCTAAATTATCTTCATTACTAGATTTTTAAAAAAAAATTGATCTATGAAAATGGCTTAAACTAAAAAAAGAAAATAAGAAAGAAAAAAAAATCTACCGGTACTAAGAGAAATTAACAAAGCAAAAAAAATCAACTAAAAAAAATAAAACTATGAATCAATGAAATAACAAGGAGAAAAAAAATAAAAAAAATAATAATTATCATGCTATTAGTGTTATCACACCCGGCTCCGAAGCCATTTAATATGCATGGAGCCACTCCGGGTGCGAATAGTCATTAGCGACCATAAATACCTGGGTACCTATAGATGCAGCCTTTTTTAAATAGGCGTAAAAAAAAAAAGATGAAAACAAACTGATTGGAGGTGAACGTCCCAATCCACGGGCAACAATTCAGAGAGACACATTTTATTTATAAATAAATAATAAATGAAGAAATTTTAGGCATAAAACTTAAGTAAAGTAGTAGACATATTACTTTTATGTTTGGAACTGAGTATTTATAAATAAAAAATTCTTATTGGCATCAATTTAATATTAATTTGAAACATATTGTTGAATAGTAGGATTAAACAGCATATAGATAGAAAAGAGACGGTTTCGGGGAGGTGTCGAGGAGAAGTGATGTGTTATTATTGTAGGTACGAGACTTGGTCAAACAATTCTTAAGGGCGCGGAATATAGAAAAGGCTGGAAAATGCTGCACTCATCAAGGGTTAGTACGGATATTAGTCGAACCTGTTTAAATGTTTCTCTTCCGGTTCCGAAGAAACAAAGGGGAAAATGAAAACAAAATGATTGTTGATTTGGAGGAACAGTAACTTATAAATGTACTAGCCTACCTTATGATATAAAACTAATCTCAATCAAATTCTTTTAAGTTTTCTCTCCATGTCCGCTTGACTTTCCCATTCAAAACAAACATTATGTATGCTAATAGCCGTTGAATAGCCATGGGCCATAGCTAAGAAATGTATTTTACTATTATTACTATGATGAAACAGTTTTTTACAGCAGACGTTCCTTGTACTACTAGTTTATAATTTATAGCGTTTAATCAGTTCCAGACTACCTGAGTCAACCGCGATACATGAGTTTCCACGAAATAGGATTTTTTATGTATAAATTAATAAATTTAATATTTTCGTAGTTGGAGTTTAGTTAGAAGCATGTTAACAGGCAAGTGACCAGAGTCTTGACATGAAATAACACCCCTTAAATATCAATTTATCACCATTACTGTCATTACTTAGTAAAATACCCCAATTACTGGGTAGCAGTAGACTGAGTAGATAAATAAGATAGTCCAAGTTCAATGCCTAGACAAACAATAAACACCAATACCCCGGAGGTAGATGGGCCGCAGATGGGACTGGTTAACCTTGGATGGGAACACAACTTAGTCCCTGACTGTCTAATACTTCTACCTGCTGCCTGCTTGCACATTCACCTCTCCATTTAGTCACTGCCAAATGACATAGACCATTAAATATAAAAGAACAAAGACAATATACAGTATATAATTCTTACTGATGTTTGCATTAAATAATATTTAGCCTAAATAGGCCTGCTTATACAACAAAGAAAATTGCTCTTGCTTTAGTTTTAGAAAGTTTAAACATGTTAAATTTAGTCATGGACACTATGGTCACTATGGTGTAATACTTGTACTGCTAAATAGACATTATTAATAAAAAAGCTATTAATTTTTAGTTATATTAAGTATTTTTAATTATAGTGGAACCTCTCAAAATGAGCACCTCTCATAACAAGTAATTCGCATAACGAGCAAAAACAAAAATGTTAAGAAGTTGCTCCCTTAACGAGCGATATTTCGCATAACGAGTTACGCAGAAAGTCCCTTTTTCCTGACATTCATTTGTGAGCCGGGATACCGGTCTGTTAGTGTATTGTTTTCGTGTGTGATCAACAGTTTTTACAAATTTTGTATTCAGACAGTATTCGTAATTTTTTAATGTGCAAAGTGTAATAACCTGTGCTAAAATGTCTTTGAAGAAAAAACCACAAGAAGACAATCATAAGAGAAAAAAAATAACTGTTGAAATGAAACGTAAAATCATTGAAAACCGAGAACAAGGAGTGAGCGTGGCTAATCTAGCGCACACATTAAATCGGTCAACATCAACGATCTGCACTATTCTCAAGAACAAAAACAAAATTAAGGAGATGGATGCCTCAAAGGGAAACTGTTGCATCGTATATTGAGAAGCATCACCCTAATAAGGAGGTGGCTATTCGTGCTACAAATTTATTCAATGATAATGCTGTGACACATTTTCGTCAAATTTTGAAGCGTCTGCAAAAACAAATGTCTTTAGACAGTTTTCTGGGTAAAAAAGGATTAATTATTTGTCATAAATTCATATTTTTATTTACTTTTTTTGTTTCAAATCTAAATTGTATTCCAAGTTGTTACACTCCTTAACAATTCATAAGTAATTTTATTTGAATAAATGTTAATTAAATTTTTGAAAAATTAGTATTTTTTCAGCATGGAACGCATTATCCTATTTTACATTGATTTGTATGGGAAAAATTGTTTCCTTTAATGAGTGTTTCGCTTAACGAGTAAGAGTCTGGAATGAATTAAACTCGTTATGAGAGGTTCCACTGTATTTAAAAGAACACTTACTGTGATTTCAGTTTTTGCTAAGATTATTACACATAGGTATATGGATTTTTAATTATCGCTTTCCACTCAAAATACCTACTGTTACTATCTTAAGGATATTTGTAATACTAATACTAAGTAATACTAGCTACCAGTATATTATGTAGCTATGCGCTGAACCAGCTTTAGATGGTAAGTTTAGATGGCCCTCTGATCCAAACATTATGCCAAAGATGTCATTTTCAATGGACCCTTAGCTTTTAAGCCTCCTTTTGACCTAAGATACATTTTTTGTTGTGTTTTATTTAATTCTTGAAAAAACTGGTAAACCCTGAAAGTAAGGGTTAACCGTGCATGTTGAGATGCCTGGGAAAGAGGGGAGAGCTATATAATTTTTTTAAGAAACCATGGCTGTCTCAACTGTTTTTTAAGTTACCTCACCCCCATTTGAATTTTTCACTGTTTCATTACAGTCTTATTCTTATACAGGGTTTTAACTTTAGTGAATGACTTGTGAATAATTCAAGAAAAAGTAAAGTGAAAGTTTAATTTATTGTCCTAGAAAATAACTGTCACTGAAATACTAACAATTTATTTTTAAAAACATAATATGGCAAAATAATTCACCATTATCCTTTTCTTATACAGTACCAATGGATTTTGCTTGAACATCACAGCAAAAAATGTTGATAGTGCTAGTGTCCGAATCAAAAGAATTCATGTAAAAAATGCATGCCATTTTGACTAAACTTAGAACTGGGTCAGCACGAACTTTGGATGAAGTGGACAAGAAGAAAAGTTCTGAACAGTCAGTAGAAGAAAATGCCCTGGTCGACGAGCAAGACAGCGTCACTGGTGGCATATCAGGAATGCTGGCGATTTCGGATCTAACTGTGAAAACTCCAACTGATCCAAGTAAAGGTAAGGGGGATTTGACAGCAGTATCACATCATCAAAACTCCAAATGATCCAAGTAAAGGTTAGGTAATGGGAAAAAAAGAAAAAAAGAATTTAAAAAGTCATTATATATTTGTTTAAGTTTACAAGAATAGCTGTGCAGGACAAATGTGGGAAATTCTTTAAAAATGTTTTTAACATTAATGGTAAATGACAGTATTTAAATTTATTTTGAGTTCTTCTGCATTTAAATTAATTTTTTTTTTACCAATTAGATTTCATGTACAAAGTACCATGTGATGGCAGCTATGCAACTACGAGCAACGTGACATTTGAGGTGATTTCAGCTGAAGTGATACGCGAAGGACGTTCGGGTCATGTGGTAGGTGGACTTAGAATTGTCATGACAATGTGTATAATTGTTTAAAAAATACAATGATATAATTTTTATCATATGCTTTTTGACAAAATGCCATATTGTTAAGGTCGGTCCATGTTTTGATCTACCTATCTGTCTACTGCCTGTTTGCACATTCATCTCTTTATTTTTAAGATGACCTAGACCATAAGTACACCCTTGTTTTCTCCTCAGATTTACACAGTACTTATCAATCCACACAAAGAGGCTCTGCGGTCTGCTCCAACCCTTGTTAAAAGAAGATATTCCGATTTTGAGAATCTCCACCAGCAGCTGAAGAAGAAATACCCACCGGCTATGACAAACATTTCATTCCCCCGGAAAGTTTTCACTGGGAACTTCACCAGCGAGACCATTGCTAAACGCAGTACAGCTTTTGAACAGTACCTGGCCCACCTGTTCTCTTACTTCGAAATCAGGTACTCTTATGATTTTATGTATTTCTTTGTCCAGGATGACTTCACCACTGCGATTCAGTGTTTCCTAAACAAAGATTACAGCACTGCTGCATGCTCTTTTGAGAAAACTCTTCCAGTCATAGAGAAACTGTATGGGGACTCACACCCCCACGTATTCAACTGTCTGTGCGGTCTGGTGATATCATATTCAAATATGGAGAAATATGCCGTGGCTGAAGCTTGCGCTGAGGTGGCCTTGAAATGCAGTGGCGCTGCAGATGATGAGACTATGGCATCCCTCATGATGACTACCATCAGGCTGTGCTGGACTCTGGGCAAGGATAAACAAGACTTGGAGAAGAGACTGCTGGATATTAGGGGGAAGGGAGTGACATCCATCAGAGACCTACTTGATATCCTACTGCAAACATTCCAGATGGGATTTAGGAAATAACACATTTTTAAAATAGGCGCCTGCCAAGTAAGAACATTCTGGCCAAACTTCTGTAATTTCAGAATGTTTATTTTAGTGATAGTGCATCTCACAAATAAAATAAATGTGTGAAAAATGCAGATGACGAAAAGAACAAATAAATGTATATTATATTAAATGTTTTAATTTAAAAAAAATAATAATCTTAAATGGAAATACATGGCACTTGAATAGTTAAACAATCATGTATTGCATGCATTTAATTTTTAACTAACATATTAGCACATACTGAAGCTGGTAAACAAATCTTTTAAACACTTATGTAATTTTTATACAGGAACTACGTACTGGTACCATGGCAATAATTCAGTCTTTAAATTTATTCCACATCAATTTTTAATTATAACAACATTTACATTCCATATTCTATGTAAAAATTGTGTATTTTCACACAACCGCTCTATGATGTACAATATTTTTATTTGTTTGTTAAATCATGTAAAAAATTTCCATTTCTGCACCATTTCCATCTGTATATCGTAGAAAGATTTTCATTAGTTCCATGATGTACAAAAGCCATGTTGTTGTGGTCGGATGCGCAAACTACTTAATCTACTTAAGTTATTTAGCACTTATTAACCGATGCTCAAGTGTAAATGTGTGCAATACTATTTATAACTGTATAAAACTGCTCTGTGATGTTTTCTGGCTGTAGTCTGTCTTTAAGCTGCTGATGAGTAGATACTGTAATTCACAAATAGATCTGTCCTGACCTTCACGATTGATGAAAGAAGTTGTTTATTTTGATTTTCAGCCTACTGTAAATGGCTGAATGTTTTGACAGATTGTTATTTTTACTTTGTTGTAATTTTTTTGTTGTTGATCTTTTCTAAGCTTTAACCTGGTTACACCTTTGTGTTATGCTAACAGTTTTTTTGTTACCACTAGCAATTAAGGAACAATTGTTTTAATATGACATTTAATCAAAGGTTGCTTACAATTTATTCAGATCCTAACACAACACAAGTGCTCATAAATGTGGGCAACACTTAAACATACATATTAAAACCTACATGTTAATGGAATGGCATACTTTCCAAACATTTTATTTTGATTTTCAGATATAATATTTTGGAACAAAATATTCTCATGTATAGTGTTTATCTCCCATGGATCATTGCAGATTTCCCCAGTTGTCTACTTTTATGTGTTGGCTGTTGTTTACTGCTCTTTACCTTTCACTCACATTCTCTAATAAATCAATTATTCTTGAACAAATTAAATTAAATTATAATTTCACTTTGAATAACTATTTTTATGATATAAGCTGTACATTTTTTAATGTATAAAATTTCCCTTGAATGAACATTGACATTTGATGTCCATTTTATAAATCTTTTGATGTACATTTCATAAAAATTGAATTTCAAACTTTATGGAACTTATGTACAATTTTTCTACTTATTTTGTATTTCAAGTATGGTTTTCCATTTAGGAAAGCCAAAGACTTCTTATATTTTATTTGGATTTATAACTATCCAGGGATGAAATTTTAATAAACAAACACGATTCTTGATGTTTTTAAAAAAGTGCTTTATTTTGGCTGAATTGCCTAGAATCAAAACTTATCATTGATACGCAGCCATGTTTTAATTTTACCTAAGCACTCATATTAGGGGCTTTTTAGGTTTTCTGTATGAACGTCTGTTTAGAAAATTGATCTAGTTACAAATAACCTCTGTAGATGGAAGAAATCTCATCATGGGGCCTTACCATACATTTTACCATCACTCATGCTATCAGTCTGTTCAAGTCTTCAGCTCTTTTTGGTGCTCTGCATAATTTAAGAGAAGGCCCGTACTTGTTTAATGGTAGTATTGATATTAGGGTCAGTACTGTCAGTTATAACTTAAGGAAAAAAATCCTGTATAAATGTATTTATGTATGTAACATGAAATAGTAGAACTGTGTGTTTGTAATTGTTTTTTTTAATAGACCTGCATGTGTGTAATCGTTGTTGTATGGATATTCAGTCATCACCGTCTGTTATTTAAGTACAATTGTTAATTGATATTGGTATTTTTTTATCTGAATGTTCCCATTCCTAGTGAAATATAAATACGCTTTTTAAGTATCTCCAAGTGCACTGTGCATTTCTTGTTACACTGTAATGGGTTAAGACCAGGTCCACCTTATAGCCCTAGTGTTCTTGAAATATTTTCAGCCTTTAAGTGTACATTATGATGAACTTGTCATTTCAGGACTGATATTTTCTGTTGTTTTATAAATTAGTTTTTTTACATTAGTTATGATTCAATAAGAGTTCTAAAGACGTGGTCTAAAGTTTCAAATTTAGAACGTTAATGAAAAAAAAAGATTTCAATAATTCCTGAATAACCTTCTAGAACCATTTTGTCCTAAAATAATGCTAAAATTTATTACAAATCAAAAGATAATCGACACACTAAGTTAAGAACTGTAGGATTATTGATGTTCAAGTTGTTCAGATCAAGTTGTACATCATTAATATATTAACAGAACTAAAATCTGGATTTAAAAAACAAAAATCCTCAATAAAATTGTTTGAACTTTTTATAAATTTCAAAAACTTATTCTACAGCTACGTTGCATTTGTTCACAATGAAAGCTGAGATCGTCAGTTCATATAATATATGTCTCTCTGTCAATGAAATTGTAAGATTTTGAAAGCGGTGTGTTGAAAAAACTTTTCCTTAAAAGAAAATCATTTCATGGCACCATGTTTTTGTGTTGAAAAAGTCAGGGCCAGTCTTGTGCTCTAAACTTTCACAGAAAAAAAAAGAAATTTTTAGCAAGGCAGAACAGCTTTTGAGCAGCGCGTTCCAGCCCGGCTGCCGTGGGTACGAGCTGAAGTTGCAGCTTGTCAAGTTTCTCTATCCAGAGTAATTAAAAATTTCACCCTTGATTCGTTTTGAATGAAGCTCAGCAAAATTGCTGATGGCTTATTCCCCCAGATATATAAAGATATCTGGCAGCTAGTAAATTTAGGAATTTAAAAAATGTTCCTGCCGCCCACTCTGAGGAAAAAGCTTTGCAATGCTCATCAGAATCAGACCTCTATGATGTGAGAGATTAAAAAAAAAAGATGTTTTCACAAGCTCCATGTTATTTTCAATAATTTAACGTTAGATGTGCCAGTTAATCCTTTACGTGTGATCAAAATATCCTTGACAACAGTTTCCTTGACATTTTTATCTTATTTCAAGGTTCAGTAATGGTGATGCTCAATTGATTCAATTGTGTTATTTTTCCAAATGAAAATAAAATAAAAACGGTAATGAAGAAGCTTATCTTAAAATACCATGGATTAACAAAAGGTTTTTCTGAACTGCTCCAGGAAATCTTCTTGTTTAGGTTTTGAGTTGTTGGTCAACTGGAATGCGATAAGCCGACACCTTTGATGGTGAACTGGAATGCGACAAGCCAACACCTTTGATGGTAAACTGGAATGGCTCAAGCTGACACCTTTGATGGTGAACTTGAATGCGATAAGCCAACACCTTTGATGGTGAACTGGAATGGCACAAGCCAACACCTTTGATGGTGAACTGGAATGGCACAAGCCAACACCTTTGATGGTGAACTGGAATGGCACAAGCCAACACCTTTGATGGTGAACTGGAATGGCACAAGCCGACACCTTTGATGGTGAACTGGAATGCCACGAGCAGACACCTTTGATTAAACTTTGTTTCACATACACTTATTCTTTATGGCCAAGGAAAAGGATGCGTTTTGAAAGCTGGTTGTTGACAAAAAATTTTTTTTTTTTTTTGAAATGAAATGATTTGATTAATTATATAGCAGAAAATTCAAAGACATATTTAATGAAGAACCATTCTGTCAGCTTTTCTGTGGTCTTCTCATGCTTCAGGTTCATTAACTCTGATTTTCTCTATGATTGCCTGCCTTTTGATGGCCAGATTTTTTTTTGGACATGCCCCGTTATTAACATTTTAATCTACCCTACTTTCTCTCTGGGGGAATCAATAAAGTGTTTTACAGCTTGTAATCCTACAGGAGGAGCGAAGGAACTTTATGAAATTATTTTCAATCAAAATAGCTTCTAAAGACATTCAAAACAACATATTGCACTGTTTTTTATTTCTCTTGTATTTATTTGACTCTAACCTTAAAATAAGGTGTCTGTTGAGAAATGATGGTTCATTAATTCTACTGCATTGTGTTTGTCCAACAATTTTAAGAGGACACATTTTTAGCATTATTTTGTTTTCAAACATGTCATGAAGAAATGCAAGCAATGCTAAGGCGTGAAAAGAAAAGACAGTACCTCATAAACTATCACTTAAAGCATTAAATACTCAGTATCATTGCTATATTTCTGAATCAAAACACATTTTAAAAATATTTTATTACTTGCTCCATGTTGTCAACACATTATTATTATTTCTTTTTATAAAGATGTCTTTCATTTTTATCTATTATCAGTTCATGAAAATATTACACAC